TATGTATGTATGAAACATGAACACTAGAATTTCGTAATAATATTAATATATTATCATATATTGTACAGTGATCATGACCTATATACAACTATGCAGGTACAAAGACGTGACGCAAAATATGTAACGCCACAGAATTACGTCTGTCGTTGCTATTCAGACGAATATACACAAAAAATAAAAGAATTCATTTGTAATAATAACAATACAATAATGTTGTACCAGTGATTAAAATTATAAAAATAACAATAATTACAGGATACTATAATTATTATATTTTATGACTAACAGGAAATAATAAAAAAACATTACATAACTGTTACAGCAGACAAACCGTATGCATCTGTCGAACAACCGACCGGCCGTCACGCGACGGACCAGAAACCGGCGAATTTTGCCGCGGCGGCAGGCCGACGAAGTCATCACACTCAACACCAAACGTACCAACAGCATCAATTGCCGAACCGAAATAATTCAACGGGTGTTAGTYCACAGAATAATCACGTGGAATCTTCAACCGTCACATTTAACGAGGGTAAGTGAAAAAAATTTAAATAAAACAATTGATTTTAATCGGCCCGCACCCAAATCAAACCCTTTGTTGATTTACAGACACCAACACTTGTTAAAACATTATTATAATAAAGTTGACATTAATAAAATCCATAAGTATAGAGGTTGGATAATTTATAGTAGGTATTTGAATGTAAATGACTTGAGAGTTGTGGCGTATTGTTTTTCTAAATAAGAGTTTTAAACTAATCTGTATATTTATATTTTCTAATTTACGCGTACTTATTAAATACTATTAATGTAATAGTAATGAGTGAAATTGAAAAAAAAATGTACTTGTAATTTTGAATAAAATATAATTTTTTTGACGTATAGGTAGGTACCTAGTTGAAAATTATCTATCTTGAAATTGAATCGTTATACGTTTTCAATAGGAAATTTTAAATTTCTAACCSACTAGGTACCTAATTTTAATTAAGAAAAAAACAATTTAAGTTAATATAAATGTTTGTGCTTAAAATTTAATGGTATTAGGAACAATTCTCTTGGGATTAATTCCTGATCCTAAAACCACAAAATATCTACCTACATTATTATAATATACATGTTTAATTGTTAGGTACTCCGGTACGTATAATAAGCAATACGAACTACACAAAAATAACATTATTAAGTAGTGTGTACTTTAATATAAACGTCATTCGTGGGACCATGCAACGACAATGATAAAAAAAAAATAAGAAAAATAATAATACCACGGCGGAGTGTACACATTATACCAATAATGAGTTTAGCCAGTATGACCTAGTGATGGTCACGCAAATTAATGAATAAAGCTGATAGTCAACCGCCCATACACATAGTGGTAAAAAAAAAGCTCTCGCCGATAACGGTCAATGTGACGATGTACTCATCTAAGCAAGGACGTACAAAATACGCACGTAATAATAATATAAGTTGCGTACATTATATACAATAGCATAGGGCTATTTTCATTTAACAGAAGACATTATACATAAACAATTACCTACTTAAATTGTTTTTAAAAATATTTTGTTTAATAGCTTTTGAACATTTATTTTATGATTTTAAGTCAATACATAAAATAATTTTTTAATTTTTTAATTGCTAAGCTATACTGGGTTAAAACAGTGTATGCTTATATTTCTTAAACGATTGTTGGTATGGTTTTCCTCGCCCTCRTGGAAATAACTGCTGAAAAGTCAATAAATGGCTTCTACAATGTAGTCATGTAGATGGTAGGTACCAACTATAGGCTCGATCTTTAAATGTCGCTTGGTCTAATTAAAAATGTTTCAGCACTCCTACTAGAAACATCGTTCACAATAGAAAATGCAAAAAAAAAAACACACAAAATCAATACTTTCCTCGTGTCGCTCAGAATCTGAAACAGTAAAAACATAAGTATTTTATGCATAATACTGTTTCAGTGGGCAATTTATTTAAAAAATATATTTTAATTTTCTTTTGCTTTTGGAAACAATATTTTGGTGAAAAGAATGACACAAAATTGTTTACATCCCAGAGAGCATTTAGAAACTGTTATTTTTAATATAATCATTTATCTGCAAATAAAATTACTACCTAATAATAATTWTATGTTTTACTTGAGAATTTTATGTTTTGATAATATAAGCTTATTATTAATACATTTTGATTTCACCTATAAKAGTATGAAATTTATTTTTATGCATAAAATATAATCAAATAAATAAACACAAAGTTATATAGTCCGTGTAAAAATGCTTCACAAAAACGCATATTCAAATAAGATATTCAAGCCAATTTTTTTTCATATGATATACAAAAAAGATCATTATTGAGTTAATAACATATTTTATAGGTATAAAAGTGTATGTGTAGGATAATTTAATGGCGACATTAAACAACTAACATTGCGCACATAAAATGTGTATATAATGAACAGTTCTTTGATTTTTTTTTTTTTTTGTAATTATTATTTTAGAATCTAAAATATTATATTAAGATATTTATTTTTACACAATGTTCATAAAAGCCATTCAAAATATTATTTATTATACCATATTTTATAGAAAAGGTAGAAATAATGTAAAATTACACGACTATAAATAATTACATAAAGCAAAATGTGTATATGGATGTAAATTTCAAATTTACTGAAAATGATAATTATAAATTAAAAGCGATAATTTACTAATTTTATAAAAAAAAAAAAAACGAGTTAAGTACCTACCAAAATATAAATATTATACACAGCAAATTGGCGTAGATGTCATTATGCATCTAAATTATAATTCATTATTTATTTATGGTGTGGCATGTAAGTCACTACAGAATTAGYATAATGTAATATTATATTTATATGTTAAAATTACGTAAATTTGTTAACACGATACAAAATAAAATAATATAATGATGAGGTATAAAGCACCTATAATATAATATGATGGCATAACTATAGTAATTATTAGTGTTTGGGAATTAAAGTTCTAAATCCAATGATTCTGTCCATGTTGTAATTGTGCTTCAGTAGACGTTAAGAATTTTCCATTCCGGTATTCTTGGAACTTTGTAGATTATTCCTGGACAATACACTTTTGAATTTGTATTGGATTTCCGCAGTCATAATATTAGGCTTTTCTGTAATTTCCTACTTAAAAAGTATTTATTTGATCAGTTTATGTGGCTCCGTGTATTTATAGGTTGGTCTGAACAGTATTTTTAATGGAGCATCTCCAGTTTTGAACAAGGTGTGGGAAGAGGTGCATTGTTGAAAGTTATTCTGAAAATTTGGTCCATTTTGCATATAATTATWTCTTTAAGTCTACATTTTTTTAAATCGACCTTAAAAAGCTCGAGATCATTAAACACTTCAGATATCTGATTTAAATTATTATTTATACTCAAACAATATTCTATAATATATATGATAACTAAAATGCATAAAAATAATTAACGATTTATTCAAGGATAATGTTGTGTTTCATATCAATTAGATATGTAATATGTATACACATAAAGTATCTATTTTATTGTTTATAAATAGAAAAAATCGCTAGTTTAAATTTCTATAATACTGAACAAAAAAATATTTATTTTTAAATTTAATACATGAATGTATTTATGAATATTTATTTTCAAACTGTTAAGTAAGAATTCTAGCGTAAGGTATACATTTTGATCTATTAAAATTCAAATATTAATAGGTATATATCGTAAATTTTGTCCTGTACATAGATAAACAATTAATTGAAATTTTATGAGCAAATAATATCATTGTTTTATTAACATCATAAAGAAATAATTTCAATTTATAAACGGCTATTATAATAGTATGTATATTTATATCATATATTATTTTCTTAAGCTTGTAATTATAATTATTACTGTTTACGTTTATGGCCTTATGGGTAGAGAAGAAGCAAACGTCTTATCAATATTGACTTACACAATCGTAAATTCGTAATACAATGCGTAACAATATAACATTATAAATATTATTTAGAGAATTCTGAAATACTATATTTTATTTAAATAGCACTTACAATTTTACTAAAAATGTATCAAAAATTTAAGTAAGCTGAGATTCGTTTGTGTAGTTTGTGAAAAAATAAAATCGGATGAATAAACTAAAATTATTTTTAATTTATTAGTTAAGTATGACGGTTAGAGTATATTATACAATAATATTATATTTCCTAGCGAGTTGATAACCATTAGATTTTCATTAAATGATTTTAATGATACATGTTTTCGCTCTTATATATTTTTGTGGGTAATGGTGTGGTACATGGGGCACTTAAGGACAATGACCCAGTCCCTTATTGATTCTGCTGTTTCAAATGCGTGTACGTAATGTTATCAACATTTTTTTTTTCTCAATATGTTTATAGATCACGTAGATGAAAGATGAAAGACGATAGACACTATATTATTTAAATATTTCAAACAGTATTATATTTAACTTAATCTATGTGTTTATTATTAAGCGTTCTCGAAAACAAAAAACTTTACGCGAATATTTTTACTCACAAAATTTAAAAAATCATCACAAACTGTGTTTTTTAAACAATAACGTTTGACTATTTAGATTTAATATTCAAACATATTTACATAAATTATATTCATATATTTATTTGTAAGTTGTACTGTATTTTTATGAATGTACAAGGTACGTTACATGGTTGTATAAACAGTTTATATAGGTACAATAAACAAGGGTGTTTTATATTTTATATGACTATATTACTTTTACCACTTGGTTTATACATAATTATACATAATTAATAATTTCCATTAAACATTTAGTTTAACATATTAATTCATTATAAACTATAGTACTGCGAAAGTATTATTAATTTTTTTTAATTTTTATAGACGAATACACAAAGATAACAACTCCTAGACAAGACGTGTTGTTCAAAAAAGGCTACTTGGGAAGACGCAAACACAGTAGTGTACCAGTCATTACTGAAGTTTTAAATGAAAATGAAGGTCAGTAACATTAAATCAGAATAATATTATTTTAAAGGCCAAATTTGTAATCGATATTACTATGTGTTTTAGATGGCGATATCAACCCTTTCGAAGAGTTTTGTGCTCACAGTGAATATATTGACCCATCTATGATGTACCTTCWTACTAGTACGTAATGATTATAAATTATAATACTTTATTTTATCGGGTACATAACAATATGTTGAAATAAAAATCTAAAATCGAAATTACTTTTGAGTGATTATTCTTATTTGTTTTATAATACCATAAATTTATATTGTAATTTACACCATAATATATAATTATTATTTAATATGCAAATTGTACAATAAATAGTATATTATAACTGATATGATATGTGATATATCAACGCAAAAATGTAATTATTACTATGTGACTACCGATTTTTACATCCAACTAATAGAGAAACCATTTTATAGTAGTCGATCATATATAGTATAACACTTAAAGTTCATTCAATTCGAAATGTTCTTGTATGCGTGTGTAATTTATCGCATTCTTAATCTTGAGTGTTTATTTTATCAGTGGTTTTCGTTGTGAATTTATTCATTTTTAACAACCCTAAATTCAATATTCGTAGATTGAATATTCCTATATCTGTTATAAATGTATAGGACAGTTTTACTAGTACAGTAACGTTGCTCAAAAGTATTCACAGAAATGAAACTTACCATCTTATAAAATCAAAAATGTCCTCCCATGTCAAGATTCAAACGATTTACGGCTTACCTATATAATATATATATATATATACGATTTTCCTATGAAGTAGGTACTTAAAGTGTAGTGTTAGAATGGAATGCTATAGGTGCACAATAATAACGATAACGTAACCATAGTAGGTACTCAATTTAAAGAGGGATTTTTTTTTTATTTAATTGTTTTAATTAAAAACGATAAGCATATATATATATATATGTATATATAATTGTTTTGACACTAAACGTTTGATTTAACTCAACCACAATGTCACACAATATAAAATATGTCCTCGACTGATGATACACAACAACAATATACTTACGCGATTTATGTTGAATCCGCAGGCGGCGGATTCGAGATCTATGATCCGTACACCGGTACCGTGACTCCGCTGATGGGGCCACCACCGGGTCACTATCCACCAGTCTTACATCCTAGTATGCTGGCGGCGATGTCGTATCAGCCGATGCCGATGCAACCCGTCGACTGGTACAACCATGCGAACGTGACTTCCGACTGGATGTCCGGAGGTGCAGTTTACCAACCGAATAACAGACACCACAAGAGATCAACGACTGCCGACGTTCAGCAGGTGACCATCTATTTAATTTTGATGTTGGTATCGGTTTCTCACCACCGCAATATAATTCTTTCGGTTGTTAGTGACATTATAATATATCGTTTATAATATGATCTACGAGATGAGCGTGCAAACGGACAACGGTTATAAACAGATATTCGGAAATTTCGAATCGGAATCTATAAACGTTCGTTTATTGTCCAACATTAAAATGAATTTCGAATTTATTACAGAACGGCAGTGCTCAGAGTTCAGAATTAGGCATCGGTGGTGGTGCTCAAGAATCGAGTCTGGACGATCAGCAGAGTTTATATCAGTCACCGCAGCCGTATAATATGTAYCCCGGATATGTATTTGGCACTCATATGTACAATTATAATGGTGAGTAACGAGATTCCGACCAAAGTATTTCTGCTAACCTGTCTAACACATGAAAATAATGATAATAATAAAAAATAATGGATGTGTAGGTAACAAACGTAGACCATATATAATATAAAGTATTATATATGATGCTCGTGTAATAGGTATATTATATTATATCCCATTGCTATTTGCAATTTGCATACAATAAAAACTTTGTCTATAAAAGATTTTTCGATATTATTTTTATGATATCTGTTGAATATTATACACAGGTGATAACTGTCCGAGATGTTGTTTAGTTTTGATAGCAATTAAAAATTATTAGGTAATAGTTATATATATTATCAAGCACCTACTAATTAACAATACACACTACGATCTGCGATGATGATGACCTGAATATTATTAACTTATAGTAGTTCATGTCCATTTAGATTACGTGCTGGCCATTGCCAAACATTCCATACGTCTAATTTAACTTTGGCTTCGATAGCCAGAAAACATGCTGGTATACATAACTTACATCCCGACGATTAGCACACAGCCGTAATATTATTAGGTGATGAATGTTACCAATCAATATCACAGCTCCCGACACCATGACATAGACAACGTGTCTATTCTTTTCATTATTTCCTGTTTGAACTCGACGCCAAGTTTTCCCGTTTCAGTTAGAGTTTTTTTATTCATATATTTTATGAACGTTGAATAAAATGAACACGGTGTTTTCTAACCGGTCTTATTGTTCTTTATTCTATATACTGTCATGGAGCGGAGCCAAAAGGCATAATTTCAAATTACTATTTTTATAACTAGCATTTTTTTTTCTATCTTGACGGAAGGTAAATTTTTAAACGTACACGTTTATAAAAATAATTTACTATTTGAAAATCGCAGACAGGATTTATGATTTTTAGCATGTGATCTTCGTAATACTTCCTAATTCAATTACTGTTTATTGTAATCTACATTATCTGTTTTGATTCATATATTATTTAGTTTTTTTTATTACGCCACACTTAATCACTATAGAATATTTAACGTTCTGTTGTATATACACATAATAATTATTGTATATTGTATAAATGATTTTATAGGGTGAAGCATAAAAAATGTATTTAGAAAAGTTACATTTGTACATCATAAATTATAATGTACATTGTACATATACTTATCAGTTACTTGCTAGCTATTATACAACTATAATAACCACATACTACGCATAGGCATAAGTATTTAACATATTTCTACGTAATTATCATTTATAGAAATCATGATCCAGGAAAATTTATTTAAAATGTATAAATAGTTCAAAAGTCTAGATGTTTATTCGATAAACTGAATAAAATATTTTGTTATTTGATTAAATTAGAAAACTAGAGAATACGTTTTAAAGGAAAATATGAAATATAGTAAAAATTTACTTTGATTGATTTTAAATTATACAATTATAATATTTATAGTATAAAATAGTATATAATAAAAATTATGTTTTTAAAATTATATAAGTATTAATATATGAAAATGTATTTTCAATTATAGGTGTAAGCATTCAAGTTCCACAACCACAATCTCCTCCATCACCTTCAATCAGTTGTGATTTCACCAACGGAAAACGACGTAAGAAAAAGAAGCGTAGAAAGCGTGGTGATGTAAGTTATCTTTATACAAAACCTAACTTAGTATATACCCACTAGAAGTACTCATACAACTAACTCGTCGCATCAGTTAGATTTGAACATCTGATCAGTATTATGTGTTAAATTATTAGAATAAATTCTTCTTACAATATTTATACAGGCTACTCTTACAAACGATGTTGGGAAATAATTTTCCTTGCCCATGCAAGGTTTGATTCTATAATCAATTGCCGTTTAAAACATTTTGATTTACCATACTGTAGTTGCATTAAATTAATATATTATTTAAAAATAAAATCAAATTGACATTCCGCTAGGAACAAGTGACGTGGAAATAACTAACAATTGACATTTCAAAAAAAAAAAAAAAGGAATTAGTTACTCTGGCAAACACCAACACTATTCAAACACAAAAGAATTAAAGGCAAAAGGTCAATTATGTGGTTAAAAAAAAAATCTATTTATACTATAGTTCTTATAGCAAGTATTCAGTATCAAATAGCGATTATTTATACTTTTAATAATGATAAAAATAAAAATATTATAAATATGGTTAGATCATAATAAAATTTAAAAAAATTTAATTTAATTTTTAAATTTCATTAAAATTGTTTTTAGTTTTTATCAATTACAATAAAATAAAAATAAGAAAAAAATTGTTTCCTAAGCTGTGTATTATGTATATTATATTTTACCATGTACTTACATCTAATATATACAAAAAAGTAATACATACCTAATTTTATTAAATCAAAAATATTAAAAAATTTACAATAAAAAATATTGATTGAATTATTTTATATCATAAATGTTTAATTTATTAAATTTAAGTAATTCGATAAGTGATTCTATAAATGAATTTCTTTACAAATTTTAATTTGATTAAAAATTATTATTTTTAGGTAACAGCAGATGAATATTCCGACTCTAGTTCGGAAGAACAAAAAAGTCAATCTGGTGCTAGTTGTGACCTCGTGCTGGACTCAGAAAAGACTTCTGATTCTGGTGTGTTGACAAACAATAGTGGTGGTTCGACTCCTGTTAATGTCATACCCGTCCAGTTGTCCCACAGCGCGCCACCATTTCATATGGAATGTCCACCGCCATTCGAAATACTACACGGAACACCGATCCTCGTTCACCATCATCCAGATCAAATGGCTGCATATTACCAACCGATACCACAATACACGGAGCAATTGGCCCAGATTGGTTACCAAGTTATACCAGAGGAACAAGCTGAAGCAGTAGAGATCACCGATGACCAACCAGATGCCGAACCGGCTCCCAGCTATTCAGCAGAAAACTCCGACTCTGGTATCAGTTCTCCGAACAGTGAAGTCATGATCAAAGGGTCTACAGAAAATAAACATGAAAAAACACAAACTGTTAATGGCAGCAGTGGACAACCGGTGACAAAAAAAAGTAGAAATAAGAAGAGCAAACAGCGAGAAAAAACTACTACAGAATCAATCATTAAGACGAAGAGTAAAGACTTACCGAAAAATCAACACGAAGGAAGTAAGAAATCGTCAAAAATCGCCAAAGAACCAGCCATAATAAAAAAATTAAACGCCAAAAAGAACAAATCTAGGCTAGAACACGAAAAATTAGAAACTACAAAATCATTCAAAGAAGATCATTCGAAACCAGAAATAGAAAACATTTCAGAAGAAATTATTCAGTTGTCGATCAGTCCGGAGGCAGAGTGGATCCAAGAAGAAGAATTCTGTTCGTTGGAATGCACTCCCAGGTCAACAACGGACAATATTCAATTTAAATTTACCAAGACACAATCCCTTGACTCATGCGAGTCCGTGGAAGAAGAAACGTTTGCAACGGCGGTGAACACCGGAAATTCTGATACAGAAAACGAAATTAGACAGGACGAAGTGGGAAAACTTGAAATAACATCACCGATCAATGCAGCAGTGCCGGGACCGATTACAGAAGCCGTGACAAAATGGTTAAATGATCAGGGAGGATTAATGTTATCCCCGTGTTTAGACGATTCGGGTACTGATGAAGGCGAACTCAGCGAATATGACGATTTCGAAGAACACTTAAGTACGACTAGTCCAAAAAACGTGCAAGGCAACCCTTACCCTGCGCTGTCTCGTAGTGACGGGTCAAGGGTTGCTGGTTCTTCATCTCACGATCAACGACAAAGTGGATTAATATCCAGTGGCATATGTTGTTTAACTCAATAATTATTTAGACAAGGTCATTATATTTAAAACAATATACATACACATTGTAATTATTTACGATAAAAGCTGTACAAAATAAGAGTAATACGATAAGGACACTATATACAGGGCATGAGTAATTCGCGTACAATGTCTGACCTTTTGAAAATTAGGCCCTCTGTACAGTTCTTCATGCATACATTAAAAATTAACAAATTAATCACTTCTTTGAATAGTCTTTTTAAATATATCTCATTCTAAGTTAAGTTTTCAATGCTATAAGAAAAGAAAAATTTGCATTTAAATTCTTTTTAAATGATTATATTTAGGTCATTTCATTATTCATATAATGCAAATTTTTCTTTCATTTTTATAAACCATGGAAATTTGGTGTAATTATGAGACTGCTTTTTGGATCTCCTCTTCAGGAGTAATTTGTTAATAAGTTCATTATAAAATTTGTTAATTGTTATCATTAAAATAAAATATTTTTGTCGTTAACAATCAAGTTTAAAAATGGCATAAAAATTAAATATATATAGTAGTCGTTAAATAAATATTGTTATCTTTGATTTGCGTGTTTAAATGGATATGAATGGGTTTAGTATCTCTGATCTAAATATAAAGTAATGAATTGTTTTACTGATATTAAGCATTATTATAATGGAACACTGTTATTTTTATAATTTTTATTATACATAGGCTATTATATATTATCTGTAAATTGCAGAGATCAAACAAATTTTACTTAAAAATATAATAAATTTGGATTTACTATTACTCCCTGCTTAAGTAATACAACCTCGGTTTTTCAAGTTGACTGTTTGATTTTAATATTGGATTTGCTACTCAAAACATTTTACGTTATTTGAATATAAATGTATAAATATTTTGAAAGACGAGGTTGTATCGTCCCATTAAAGTCATTAATATGTATTATAAAAAGAAAAAATTACTTAATTGTATTTGGATTTACTAGATATCAGCAATCTCAGTACCTAACGCTCAACTACTATTTACTTTATTTCAAAACTTCATAAATATTTACACGAAATAACCTGTTGATTATTTCATTTAAATTCCAAAATGGTCAGATTAACCATCAAAAATAGATTTATCTAATAGATACTATAATTTAGAATACTTAGTGTGTAATTTATCGTAAGTAGTACGTAAGATAACAAATAGTAATATTATAGTAGCCGATAATAACGGCACTGTCTGAATTTGGTGCTTATACTTAAAAACATGATACTACAATATTTTAGTTTAACTTTAATAATATTTAGCTAATATAATATTATAAAATTGATTAAAAATAAAAATAATACATTATTAGTTTAAATTKTTTGGGTGATATTTAAATTTGCATAGTATGAGGCTGCCTGGATTTTACTGTTGTGTTATTATATASAAATTTAATTTGTTATGAAACATTTGATAATTGGTTTAGGGTGTTCCACATGTATGGTGTTTTATAAAACATTATTTTTTCAAAAACAATATTATCAGTGATATTTTTTTATGAAATGCAAAAGTTTAATTTTTAAAAGGTTCATAATATTAATAATATAATGTCCTATATCCATAATTCTGTTCTTAAATAAATGGGTATAATTTGTACCTACATTAAAATATTTTAATTTTATTTGAAAAATGTTACGTTTGATGTTTTTTACACACACGCTTCCAGATTTTTCAGACTATACCTCACCGTATAAATAAATTTAGTGATTAAGATTTTAGTTCACTGTTGTTACAAAAGTTATTTAAAAATAAAATTGGTTGTACTTTATGCGTCTGTAAACAAAAATTCTTAGCATACCTACATAATTGATGTAAGACAGGATAAAATTAACAATAAAAATATTATAATAATACGGACATTTTTATTCTGTTAAATATTTAGAAAATATAGATAAAATGTGTTATTTTTTTTTTTAAGTAGCCTATTATTATTGTTATTTGACTACGATATCTCCATTTTACTGATGATGACTTAGTTATTAAAAAAAAAAAAAAAAAAAAAAAAATGATTATATGTAATACTGAATTGGTTTATTAATATAATTTGAAGTAAAAGAATTATAATAAATATAATATAGCAGTTAACTTATAAAATATAAAGCAGTCAGTAATATTGTATGACAACAAATATATGTATGCATACATGTAATTTCCAAATGTTATCGCTGTATTGTCCGATAAAACTGATTTAAAATTGTATTACCCACATACCTACCTATATTGTAATACTATTGATGCACTAACTAAATTATATCAACACATAAAAATCAGTATTAAGCCAAGAATATGTAAACGTTTATTATTATGTACTTTTTTTACATATATATATATATATATATAGATACCTACATAAAATATCTATAGTATAACAAAATCATCACCCCCATTCCCTCATCTGGTTTGGCTTAATTTGTACAAGAATACAATATTATGTCTGTTTATATATAAATAAATAAGTATATATATATGTATGGTTTGTGTGTATATTATATATTTATTTATAATTACAATATATTGTACTACTATTTTGTTATGCAACATGCTACAAGTTTAGGCTTTTGATAATTAAGTGCCTTAGGTCATTMCTTTATAAGCGAAATTATTCGAAACGGAATTTGTTTTGTTTTCGTTCAACAACATCGCGTCACTTTGTCTCGTACATAAGACATTGAAGATCGTTAATTTATGATTGTGTACTGGTTAATATATGCATGCTAATTATATTTTACTTTCCAATATTTGGAGAAAAAATAGCATATTTAATGTTTATTAAATAAATATATGAAAACCAAAATGTGTGTGTGTTTTTTTTTATTATTATTGTGTACCTATATTTTAAACAATATTTAAATACAATTTTAAAAAATATACCTATTTAATGTTATACGCAATTAAACGTTTGAAAAATGTATAATATAGGTATAGACTGTTATAAAATGTCCGTCTCTAGATGGCACTGTTATATACGCCTTTAGTATTTTTAAATCAAATGTTCATCTTACTTCTTTGACGGTCGATGCGTGGTTCAAATTTTTCTTATTACCATCAATCGTGCCAAAATTTAATAGTATTTATGATAGAAAAATAATTCAAGATCGTATAGAATTGAAAATAAACATTAAGCTTTTAAAGTGTATCAATTTAAAAGTATCATTGATTCAATGTATTAATATAATACATTAATTATTTTTCTGTTGTAAATTTAGACATTTTTTGATAGTCAATTATAAATTATAACGTCATCTAATTTTGACAGTTTAACATAGTTTAGTTTAAGCGAGTATATTTTTCCAAACTCTGGTGACAAACAAATAAATGTAGATAAATTCTGAAATTATTACCTACTGTTTCTATATAACCATCAACACGCCAATTTAATATTAGTATAATTACTAATCAAGATTAATTAGTTGGCAGGCCACAAGAAAATTGTATGAATCGATAAAATTGAGAAATTGATTTATCAATTTGACAAAATTAAAAACACTTGTTTTTATTTCGATTTAAACGTGTAGCTACACAATTTATATGGTGAATAGAGACAAGTGATTATATTAAAAGAGCATTGCTCTTATATTAATGTTTGTTATCAATATGTTTAAACACACCACTGGACATTGTCCTACTAAGCTATATCAAAATCGATTTCCTGTTAGAGACACCCACTTGTTTTGTCGTGAATAAAATACAAATCTACAGTAGTCAATACAATTTAACATGTAGAGCTTCTAAAACAAATATATATATTTTGAAACAACTAATAAAATGAAGTTGATAGTTTTTTTAATTTGTTTGATTGTTGAGAGGTTACAATGCCGGTCTGCAAATGATTTTTTAAAAGACGTATTTTCAATGGAAGATGATCCAAAAGAGCAAAAATGTTCAACGATGCAATGCCAAACGGCAGGTAAATTCATCTGAACGGTTTTAATATTTATTAACATATTACTATTATTGTTTTTTTTATCGGGTATAAGGCTTCAATAGCTAGGTCATTATCCTATATATTATTATTGTTTAGGCAAAATGTCCTCCAAAAGTTGATATTGTTAATTTATTTATCAGGAACTAAGGAATTAATTAATTTTTATTTTATTTTTACAATTTTTACGGGACAAGCTTTTTAACAAAAAGGGTATAGTAATGATGAGCAGTATTATGTAACAATGAAAAAAAACCAAAATCCAATTTAATAAACAAAGGAATATTAAAAAATTAAAAAAAAAAATGTTCACCTATTATGATTCACATTGTTATAGAATATTTATTGAAGAGTATGAATAGATCAGTAGATCCATGTGAGGATTTTTATGAGTTTACGTGTGGTTTGTGGGTAAAAGATCATCAAGTTAAAGCCACTAAAGTATCTTGGTATCAATACAAAGAAGCAGAAAAAAGTATAACAAATAATTTAAAAGGTATGTGAAAAATCATATAACATATTATAAAAGTTTTTATAATTAATACATTATCTAGTACGGCTGTACAAACGAGCGTGTAATACCTAATTATACTTTGTTTATGACATAAATATTTAGAATAAAATACAACGTTTAGTTCGAACTATAAAAATTATATTATTACTGTAGTCATAAATTATATAATCATAATATATTTTAGAAATTTTGGAAGACGACAATCCTGATCTAATTTTAGATCCAGCACAAAAATTCTACAAAAGCTGTTTAAACTCTGGTAAATTTCAAAATTATAATCAAACACCAGCTGATATTTATCTTTAACATTTTAATAATGTTCATAGTCAACAATGGAATGAATATTGAATACTTAAAATCGATAATTTCATTATTTGGTGGATGGCSGATAGGACAAAATGATTACAGTGAAAAGTTACAATCTTTGGACTGGATTAAAATGTATATTTATATGGAAAAAAACTGGAAAGTGTCAACAATTTTAGATACTGGTATATCTATTAATTATTTGAATACCAGTCAATATATTTTAATGGTAAATGGGCGTGGCATGTTTACATTAATTTTGATCGGTATAGTACAAATTTATATAGTATTTATGATGTATAGATAGGTCAGCCAGACTTAATGCTACCGAGATCGATGTTCATGCATCCAGATCGGTATAAGACTCAAATGAACGCTTATTCGAAACTTATTTCTGGTACGGTATTTTTGTTGCACGAAGAATTTGATTCTAAAATGACTCGAAGCAGACATTTCGGGGACGAAATCGCCAGTGAACTAATTAAATTCGAAACACAATTGGCTAAAGTAGATGCTTGAAACATTTTAATAAAAATAAATTGTATGATTTTACATCTAATATTATTCTAATAGATACAAAGTACTGGAGAAATGAAAAAAAGCGAAAAGGTATTAAAAAATCGCGTAATGACAATAGAGGAACTTCAAAAAGATATAAATAATGTATCGGCTACGTTTCAGGTAGGCACCTATACAAATATTAATTAAATGGCCATAACCTTTAGTTTAGGTATCCGTTTCACCAAATATTTCGTAATTAATAACTTATTACATTATTATTCCCAATTCAGCCAGACTAGTTAAGATCAATTTAATCAAATTTTTTGGCAATAGTTAAGTTGTTACATTGTTGTACACTATCTATTGAATTTTTAATTCTTTTTTTTTAAGTGTTTCTGACATACAAGGCAATCGAACTTATTGATATAATAGACATTTTTAACATGAAGTTAATCATAAATTAATTACAATGTATACAGTAAATTACAGTAAATTACAAAGATGAATAAATAAATAATAAAATATGACATCATAATAATTAGTTAATCTAGTGTATTTTTTTTATTTATTTTTTTTTTTTGTATAAATTATTGGTGTTGAGAAAGGGCATCATGAGAACGTCCGCGCTTGAGATGCCGGAAGAATTTTTAATTCAAATACAATTTAGCAAACTCAAAAAAAAAAAAAAAATGATGCCTACAATTTTATCAATGACATATGCAATTTAACGTCTTTAAAATAGGGGTGGATATCATTTTAATTTCACAGAACGTTTATAATTATAATATTCAGTTTCAGAATATTAAAAAAAAGTCAGATAATAGCTATTGGATTGAGTACACATTTGTTGTACTATATTTAGAACCACACGAAATGTCAGATTATTTTGTTGATTATTGGATACCAGAATGCCAAACAAACGATAGAGTGATAATATATAGTTATTTTTTAATAAACAATAAAATTAATTCATAGGATAGTACATTTATTACAGTAATACTTATACTAAATACTAAATAGTACAAGAGTATAAGCGAATCTCTTCATCTTTTTCAATGACAATTATTATTCTTATTCTCCAAGAATAAGAATATATTAAGTTGGTTAAATGATATGCGAAATGATGTCCAAACTGATAATTATATCAAAATTATTTTAGTTGAAATACCAAGGACATCAAAAGATGCAAATAATATATTAAAATATTATAAAATGTATGCAATCCTAAATGTATCTAAAATATTCTAAGAATTATATAATTCAAAAATGTAGGTGATATGGATATCTAGGAAAAAAGAGTCCAGCCCAATTAAATAATGTTGCCGCACCATTAAGTATATTATTTATACCCACATGTTCATGTGATTAAACCACATACGTTTTATATAATACTTGTAACAGGTTGATTGGTTAAAAATGTTTCGACTACTGTTTAAAGGCACTGATGTATTTTTCAAAAAGACAGAAAAGATATTTGTAAAAGAAGAACATTATCTAAAAGACCTGGTACGGTTATTAGAAAAAACGCCAAAAAGAATTTTAAGTATGTTATACTTACATATTACTATATATTAGTCATAAAAATGTACTTTGAAATTTCACATTAAGTATTAATATTTAAGTTTTG